ACGAGTTAGGCCCGGCGGGAGAATTGGCTTCTTGTACCTGTCCTTGCGTTGTTGGTAGCGAGCGGCTTGATCCTCCGATTTGCGCGCTAATTGCAGGTGTGGTTCTATTTTCAAGCAGTGTTGAGACATCTCCAAGGTAGATTCAAAATCCAATCCGGCTATGACATTTTGCAACTTGGGACTCATCTTTTCGCAAAGTTCATCCATGCGGTCTTCGTCTCTAAGTTGCAATTGAGAAGCGAAGGTCAGGAACTTAGTGAAGAAGGCTGAGAAGCTGTCATCCCCTTGTCGGAGTTTCTTGAAGTTGGCACGAGCTTCGGAGCGCTTCTGTCCTCGGGTCTTGCCGTAGGCTCCTCGCATAACTTCGACGATAGACATCGCAACAGTGATGTGGTTGACGCTTTCTGGCTCGAGGTAGGGTTTTATGAATTCCTGTGCATCACCACCAATAAATCCCAAGAGGTAATTGATCTTGTGGTTTTCATCATCAAAGTAGATCGAGTCGCCGTTCAACTTGCGCTTAACAGCGTGTTCCCAGTTCTCGAAAGTAGGATTATGGGAACCCATGAAGGTGGGTGGGTTCTCAATCTTCTGGCGGTGGCGGAGTTGCTTAGCCTGTGGGTCACGGACCTCTTTGTATCTTGGTGGTATCTCTGAGGCCTCACAGCCGGCAGCGTCTTTCTCAACAGTGTTATAGGCTGCAGATCCTCGCACCGACTTGGATTACTCCTTCTGCTTACCCTTATCCTTGGCCTTGAGATCTAGAGTGACCTCTGCGAATGCAGCCTTCCAGCGCTCAGCTTCCTCCGCCCAGGATTGTGCCATTTTCTCTGCCTCTGCCTTCTGCTCCAATGTATCTCGAAGGTAGTTGCTGATGTTGTTGGCGCGATCAGCCAGGGCGGTACACATAGTCTTAAGGGTATGTTCGTGACGTTCTTGATCAGTCTCCTTCTTGACTTCAGCAGCGCGGCGTTTGTTTCTCTTGTTGTAATCCTTGTCCAACAATTCAAAAGTGACTTTCTGATACCATGGAACATCAATCTTCGTAGTGAGGTCCTCCTCTTCCCCGGGTGCGCGGGTGGCGTACACCGAGGTTGTGAAGTCTTCCTTCGGCCACTCTCCTGGCATCTTCTGCTTTCCTTTATTAGCGAGACAATTAGCCAATGACTGTCCAGATAATCGTGAGCGAAACGCTGTCCACAGATTACTGAGTCTGAAATTAGTATTTTACCTCTCTACAGAGGTCGCGTTGAGTAGTTTAGGGAGCTTAGTATTATGTCACGGCGTAGAATAGGCACAAGTGAAAGTACAGCTTGTATGGCGATAATTCAATCTGTGAAGCAAATACTAAGCTGGAGAAGAATAGAAAAGAACAGGATCTCATTACAAAAAGCCCTGAGGCTATTCCTATTCGGGCGGGTTTCCACTAAATCGCCGCGTCCGTGCTCCTTCCTGCATCAGCCATCAGTCTCACATCCTCCCTCCACGTAATTGTATATCATGGCGGAGCAGAATGCCGTGCCGTGACACTGAGGGGGTGTGTTGCGCTACGGTTATTTTAGGTTTACCTGAATTTACTCATAACATGACCCGGGTCGGAGAAGTTAATGCTGATACGTGATGCGTTTCAAGGAAAATATCTTTTTGTTCGGATTTTACATAACTCATATTTTGAATTGGGTTTACATCTATGTTTCTGATGATATTCTCATCTTATCTGTCCAGAGCACGGTTTGGTATGTTTCGGTGGTAGCATTATTGCCAGCGAGTTATCTAGTAGGGTTTCATATGAGGAAAACTATGTATTTTAGATACTTGATAGCCAGAGAATAGAGAGACAACCCTTCGATGATTTGTTACCTTCTACTCCCATTTCCAAAATAGTCCAACAGTTGCAGTCCTGAGGGGAAGTGTTGTAATTAAGGCAGCAACATGACTGCAGTAGACAAATAGTACATGTTAGAATAATATGCACTGGCGCCATGAGATGTGATTTACCCATATCATCACTCACTGACATGAATAGTAATTAGCCAATAGATGCCTGACAGCATACATTGGCTACAGGATCTCCAACAACCTTCCCATTTAGGTTAGATTAGGAAGTAAGTTTGAGTTCACACTAGTGTGCGGAAAACCCCGCCTTCATGTATATAGAGGGACTTCTTGCCACACATATAGAGTTATAGCAATTTCTTTACAATTAACTATCCATTAAACATCAGTAGACTTTGTCGTACATTAAACAGACTCATCATAACTCTAACTCATCCTCATACTTGGTATGTCATTCTTACAATTTCCGGAACCATTTTAATTCTTTCATCATCCCACAAGTACAACATCGCCGCAAGAGAGTGGTGTGTGGGATTTACTGGATTCGAACCAGCTTTCTCCAGTCTCGAATGGAGTAGGTGTTCAAGCTACCCAGTATCTACTTGGGAGAACGGCCCGGATGGTGTACCACTGCACCATCCAACCCTCCTCAGCATAGTAGACTTTCGTCTCCTTACAAAAGATCATTAAGTCATTAGGTCATTCAACAGTAATTGAGGAGTGTTTTTTTCCTTAACAAATCTTTTAATTTTCGGGATCAATATTGTCCTCTGTTTTAATTCGCTGTAATTTTATGGCAATTCAGGCTGTCAAAATGAGCTGGACCTATACACAGAGATCCTTGTCAGCTTCACCGGTCTTGAGCCCAAATTGAACTTGGCCCTTAAGCATAGGGAATGAATAAACGAATGGATATCTATTCGTATCGGGCACAAGCCTGGCACTCATAGAGCATAATACGAAGAAGACTAGTCCTTCACCGAGCACCACATACCTCGATAACTCAGTTTGACATCTGGACTACTCATATAATAGGGGCATTCGCTGATACCACTCTAGACCTTTGTGCTAGAGACTTTCACCCTTCCCTCAACAGTTATCATCCACCAAAAGGAAAACAGAAAAAGCCTTTGGCTACCCTAACATGCCTTTGCCATCTTGTGTGTAGCCACTGCGTGAGACATGGCCTCACAATCCCCCTTTCTCGAGTGAGGTAGGTGTCCAAGCTACCCAGACTTTAATTCGGGGAGATGACAACCAGGAGGTGGAGTAGGAGGCGGTTCACAAAACCTTCCATTGTTGCTTATTTTTAAAGTGTCGGTAACGCTATCCGAATCGTAGCTCTGGCACCCATAGATACCCCGAAGTCGAAAACACTTAGAAAATTTTGATTCTCAGCATGTCTGTTTGTGATCTCTTCACTCGCTCGCCCTACGTCTCAGCTACCTATACCCCCTCAAGATGTGAAGTTCAACCATAGTAATGGTTCCATGTAGACCAAGACCCGGGCTTTGTATGAAGGGTGACATTAAATTGATATTTGGAACAGTAAGTGGTGCTCCAGCCCTCGAAAACTGGTGCAAGAAAGTAAAGGCATACAAATGGTTAGCCAAAAATAACAAGAAAAGAGGGGGAAAATCGCGATATTAATCGAGGCGCAAAGGTATTAGGCTTGGCGACAACATGTAGCGACACGATACTATGTTGTCTATGGAGATTAAATCAGACGTCAGTTGACAATAGGGATGAATGACGGCAATAGGTCGTGCAGGCACGCCGAGCGTTCTCTAGCTGACTTAGCGGCCGGGTATATCCTGTGTACCTTTTTTTTAATTCATTTTATTGTCCCGTCTGAGTCTACGAATTTGTAGGCCATGCAGGTCCTCTACCTACAGGCCAAGGATACCTATCCCAGTAGTATATCCCATCCTGTGCCTCCCACACAGCTCCCCTTAGGGGGACTATTCTCAACACCTGTCAGTGGTGTCCCCTACGAATCTCCAGCTCTCACTGAAGAGTCTGCAGAGCCGAGATTGAGTAACAAAGTCCTCACTTCGACAAGGATTCCCAATCGCTTTCGCGGTCTGTATCGTCTTCATCCCTAGTCACAACCCGCCTAACACCATAATCATGAAGCTAACCACGATTAGAACAGATGGTAGGGTCGGAGCCTTTCATGGATAAACGTGGCGGAAACTAGGATGGTGTCTCATGGAGAGTTCCATTCTAAAACACAACTCGGGGTTAGATCAAGTTCTCAAACAATTAGGACAGGCTCAGGAACATAGGGTAGTTTCATAGGGAATGCGTAGTAATACTGTTCGAGACAGAGCTTAGGGCTGTCCTATTATCTGATGTACATATATACCCAGCGTGAAGGAGTATTCTTCTTCACGCAACGTCTTCTGTTTATACTCATACCTATTGTTCACTTACTTATCTCTTCTCTAAAGAAGACCGCCGTTATTGTACCCTTCTCACCTACTACTTATTTTACCTTTACTTCTTACGTGAACCCTATACCTAACGCTGAATTTACACCTCCTACTCTTAGGAATCACCACCATACTCCACACCTGTAACCTACTTGTACCAAATTCGTACCCTACGGAATACTAATAACACTGCTCCTTGAGAGAGCCCTACTCATCACCAACCCTTGATCTTGGAGGAAAAGCCATCTGATGAGTTTCCGGAGCGTACCCAGCACCCGATACGGAGATGGCGGATTGGATCAAGTCGGCCTCGATTGTTACAAAGAAGGGAGAAATAGATCAATATGCGCACCTCATGTGGTCCTGGTGTCTAGGCCTCGCCTGGCTGGGGCTGCAGTTTTTATTTGAGACTATTTCCCGCGCACGCAGTTTCCATTGCTACCATTTTTATTTTTTTGGGAAGAAGGTTCCGTGGAAAAGGTGGCTGAATTCCACGGGTATATACTGAGCTGAATGGCTATTTATCAAGGGGAATATATCAATGATCTTTCAAGTAACAAAAGAGGATAGGAGCACTGTACAAGGTGTGGCCTGGGTCAGAAAGGAGCCCATTGTGCTAGATAGTCTATGACTCAAGCAGTGAGACTAGGTGTGCGAATATATTTCTATTAACGTTATACCTCCTCCTTATAAACATGAAGTTCCCCATATTCCAGACCATGTAGCAGCCTATAATACATGGCAAATTAAACTATCAGAATAGAGTAGGGGAGAAGTGAGCTGCTTAGCCGCCCGGGTTGTGACCAAAGAATGCGAGGGTTGCATTCTTGATGGAATCTCAAACTCGGCGGCTTGCCTAGGATCGGGACTTCGGCGTCTCGCTTGCCGAGAGACTTGGAATTCAGAATCCACATCTATCGCTAAAAATCTAAGACGCAACGTATACCCGCAAGGAGTAAATTAAGGCAAATAATGCAAAGCCGAGGTCCTGGCTTGTGGGGGACTGTTGCTCTAATGGCACAAACAACTCGAGGAAGAACAGGCGGCTGAGTTGTGCAGCGAGCGGGGGAAGAGGTCTCTGAAGACCATGCTAAGACTGTCATTTTCGAGGGGGTTTCAACTTTGGAACGTTAGTGGGCGCCAAGATAAGGGTTACGGCAAATTAGCCAGAATACCTTCTATTATCGATCAATTAACGGCACTCCCAAGAGCCCTGGATGGCACAAAAGAAAATGGGCTAAGCTACCACACAGCAGTCACTCTCTGTCAAGACATTTCAGCACGACCTTGGAGAAGGAATTAGAAGAAGGCTGGCGAGGCAAAGGGTGAATTTCCCGAGGTACCCACAAGTCTGTAACGCCAAGCTGGCCGGACTTTTCGAACGCTTCAGAAGGGTCACTATGTGGATCCTGAAAAGATCTACATAGTCATGGGTTGATCAGATTTTGGATGTACGGCACATAGACAAAATGCTAATGCCTTATGATCTCACATGATCAGATCGCACAGTCACGAGTGCAGATCTCACTGGAGTTGATTGGTAACAGAGTATTGATGTATATAGGCGCATATACATCCTACATTTAGGGGCTACAGAATTCACGCATTAGTTTCATGCTCTACACAAGATCCGTTGTAGTCAGCGACCACTGTATATCACGTGATAACCTTTTAATTTCTACACCCACCCCATAACTTACAATGGACACAACGCGCGCTGAGAAACCTCAACTATGTCTTGGGATTCAGTCTTGATGTCGGTATTAGAAGAGCACGGCACCCAGTGGGTTTTGCGATTTTTCCCGGCTGCCACACACCCGCAATTGGCCATCGTTTCGTCTGCTGGAGAGGAGAGATAATGAAGGGCAAAAGGCTCCTCTAAGTGTATGATTGAATAAGGACTTGTGAGGGGTGGTACTGTTTAAGGGGAGCTGTTTTTGTTGTGTGTGTTTTTATTGTACTACTTGAGTCTATGACTATCTAGCACATGGGCTCCTTTCTGACCCAGGCCACACCTTGTACAGTGCTCCTATCTTCTTTTGTTACTTGAAAGATCATTGATATATTCCCCTTGATAAATAGCCATTCAGCTCAGTATATACCCGTGGAATTCAGCCACCTTTTCCACGGAACCTTCTTCCCAAAAAAATAAAAATGGTAGCAATGGAAACTGCGTGCGCGGGAAATAGTCTCAAATAAAAACTGCAGCCCCAGCCAGGCGAGGCCTAGACACCAGGACCACATGAGGTGCGCATATTGATCTATTTCTCCCTTCTTTGTAACAATCGAGGCCGACTTGATCCAATCCGCCATCTCCGTATCGGGTGCTGGGTACGCTCCGGAAACTCATCAGATGGCTTTTCCTCCAAGATCAAGGGTTGGTGATGAGTAGGGCTCCGACCCTACCATCTGTTCTAATCGTGGTTAGCTTCATGATAATGGTGTTAGGCGGGTTGTGACTAGGGATGAAGACGATACAGACCGCGAAAGCGATTGGGAATCCTTGTCGAAGTGAGGACTTTGTTACTCAATCTCGGCTCTGCAGACTCTACAGTGAGAGCTGGAGATTCGTAGGGGACACCACTGACAGGAGTGGTGCATATTCCCCCATTTAAAAAGAGTGCTGAAACGGTGGCAACAGTACACGCTTACCGGGTTGGGTGGTGCAGTGATACACCATTCGGGCCGTTCTCCCAAATAGATACTGGGTAGCTTGAACACCTACTCCATTCGAGACAGGAGAAAGCTGGTTCGAGTCCAGTAAAACCCACACACCACCTCCTCTCGCGGTGAAGTTGTACTTGTGGGATGATGAAAGCACACTCGGATAGCCACGGGGTTCTCACACTTTTCCCTGTGGTGGGTATTCACGGATGAGGTTGTATGCCGTAAGGGTTGACCTTGAGTGATATCTGCAATTGAAATCTCAATGTGAGTGTTCTAAATGACAAGTTGATTTATCCTACTTTAAGTACATATCTTCCGGTAAAAACCTGCATGGGCCTCAAGTCGCCAAATCAGGATATTGAATTAAATATATATATATATATATATTGTGGGTTAATAAGCTTGGTCAAAGCTCGACGGAGAGAGTATCCATCATGACGTCAAATATTATCACGTGTTCTAATGTTAACGATTACTCTTGTATAACTTATGTAGATGATGGAAGATGTAGAGGAACACATATACATTTTCGAATAACCAACCTGACATTTGTCGACCCTTGTGATATCACATTGTAAGACCTTCCAACACTGATCAGTGATTGTACAAGGCAATCACAGACTGGCAAGGAAGAAGAGACAGATCAATTCCTGAAGACCTCCCTGGCTTGACCATACTCTCGAGAAGGAATTTCTGTGCTACAGCCCTCAACGTTATTCAGACCTCCCTGGCTCGACCATACTCTCTGAAGACACGTAAGGAAGATCAAGGCTATAAATCAAGGCTTCTGATTCATTTCAAACTTTTGATTAAAGCCAAGATACGCGTCCTACCACGCAACTATCAGTTTTGTACAAATTATCTAATATAATGGCGAACGACACTCCCAAAGTCCCTGCAATTCCTACATGTACTCTAAATGATATCCTAACTGCAGGCACACTCAATATAAGCCCTGTCGCATGGCAGCAAATCGACCCGAGTCTCTGGTTTACCCCCGTCTCTGACAACCCGACTGAAGTTCATGTCACAACGTGGGTTGCACGGCAATTACAAGACTACACATATGGAAACTTGGTTGGAGATGATTTGTTCTATGCTTTTCAAGAGGACTTTGCAACCTGGACGGAAATGAATTTTGATAAGATAAATCAGCCATTTAAGAGAGAACTTAAGCTCCTCCTCCGCAAGCGAGGTATCTATACTGGCAAGAATAATGGTCCTATCGGACGACAACTTGCGAACTTGCTTAAAATAGAGTCATGCCCTGAATGGCCCGTGGATGAGCGTTGCCCAAACCCTCATGAAAGATTTGTCACATACAAACCGGAAGCAAAGCAAGAGGATACAAAAGTTTTGTTGCAAGGAACTTCTTTTCTTGATTCAAATGCCTCTCAACAGAAAGAAAAATTACAAGGATCAGTCACCTCGAACCTTTACAAAAATGAGCAACCACCTAGGCAATCACAAGCCGGAACGTCAACCATGTTACAGAATCCTTACATCACATTACCACCAGAACCAACTGTAAATGAAGATTTAGATCCCCATGTGCTAACCCAATTCGCTAAGCTATGGGATAAAGGAAAAATGTATTCAGGCGAGCCGTATGATATACTTGATGACAAGCTTCGAATTTTCCTGAACATTTGTAAATTTTTGAAAATCCGACCCGGTCAATTCCACGCAGCATTTCCAAGGATTTTAAAAGGTCGGGCTGAAACGTACTACCTTCATTACATCGGCCCGGAAGCGAACTTTGCGTTGGCCTATATGAAACTTAAGGCGCATTTCGATACAGAAATCAACCATAACACGTACTACACAGACTGGACTACAACAACTTTTCATAAAGTTCGCCAAGAAAATAGTGAAAAGTCTTTACAAGAAGTACTCCAGATATTAATTGACAAGCTTGAACTTTGCCAACGCGCCCTTGGTCCGAACTATATTGGAGAAGAAGTGCTACGTACCGCCGTCATTATGGCATGTCGTGGTGTTCCTGAACTTAAGAACGCCTTATTCAAACCAGCAAAATACTGTGAAGAACTTTACTCGGACCTGCGATCATCAATCGAGACCTCTTTGAACGATGTCCCTCCACGCCAATTTATGACCGATAATCAGGAGGATAACGACCAATACTATCTTGACCGACGCTATAACAACAATCGGCAAGGGATGTATAAGAAAAATAACCGAGGGAACTATGATCAGGATGATTCCCGGCGGAGCAAATTCAGACAGGAAAACCTTGACTGTGATACGAGAAGTAATCCCACCTGGAAAAAGAAATGTTTTATTTGTGGTAAAGAGGGGTGTTGGTCTACAAAACATCCAAATGATGAACGTCGTCGAGCACGAACTCGTTACCTCGCCCATTGTCATTATACAGGCGACATTTCAAACGACTTCGCAACTTACCTTGTCGGCTACGAAGGGCACGAAATGGCTGTTCAACAAGATGAAACCCCCAATGACTTTGAAGATGAAACTTATGCAGCCGAAACAGCAAACTATCTAATGAATCAAGCATATCTTCACCAACTTACAGGAACTAATGTCTTTAAAGAGCAAATAGACGCCCCGGCCAACCAGTTGTTTATTGAAGACCGTTACTCAAGAACTGTTTTCCAAGGTATTCTACCTGATACTGGCGCTGCCCAGGTTTTAACGGCAGGATTAGAGCAATACCTCGCACTGCAGCGAGTTGAATCATCTGTGCAACTTGACAAATCAACAGCTGGCCGAGCATCAGTCTGTTTTGGCAAAGGATCAATAGTCAACTCAATTGGCTCTACAGTGGTTAGGACACCAATCGGAGAAATAACTTTCCATGTTCTCGATACTCCAACACCATTCTTGTTATGTCTCGCCGACATGGACCGAATGGGTGTATATTTTAATAACATCACGGACGAGATCATCAGAGGAAACACCCGAATCCCGGTAATCCGAAAATGGGGACACCCCTGGTTTTTCCTCAACAGACTCGAAAGAGGTGCAGCGTTTCTTACTGAGATTGAACTTCGTCGATTACACCGCCGGTTTGGCCATCCATCTACGGATCGTCTTTGTCGTTTGTTAAGGAAAGCCGGACATGATGATGTGAACGAAAAATCGCTTGAGACCATAACCAAATTTTGTCACCAGTGTCAAATGCATAGTCCAGCTCCGAGACGATTCAAATTTACCCTGAAAGATGACCGCGAATTCAACCATGAGATCTTTGTTGACGTACTGTATATCATCGAGCGCCATGTGTTGCACGTTATTGACTCAGCAACTTCGTTTCAAGGTGCCCGATTCCTCAAATCTTTATCAAGCAAAGAAACGTGGGAGACACTCCGTATGTTATGGATTGATACATACCAAGGTCCTCCCGATATCATCACAAATGATGCCGGTACCAACTTTGCTTCTTCAGAGTTTAGGAATGAGGCCAAGATCCTTGGGATCACATGTAAACAGGTACCAACCGAGGCTCATTGGTCAATAGGAAAGATAGAACGATACCACGCTCCTCTTCGCCGTGTTTTCGAGATCCTACATGCTGAGCTATATAGTACTACAAGTCCAGAAGCAATACTACAAATGGCAATCAAGGCGATTAACGATACGGCTGGACCAGATGGTCTTGTGCCAACACTTTTGGTTTTTGGCGCATATCCTCGGATGACCGTAGATTCACCACCATCCCCATCAACCTTGAGGCGAACCGAAGCAGTTCAGAAAGCCATGAAAGCCTTGCGGAAACTCAACGCCGACCGACAGATAAATGACGCTCTGAATACTAGAAACGGACCTTCAACTCACGAGATTCTTTCATTGCCTCTACAAAGTGAAGTACGCGTTTGGCGTGAGAAAGATGGCTGGCAAGGTCCCTACAAGATTATCGCGACCAACGGCCATGATGTAACTCTTGACATGGTGAATGGCCCAACAACCTTTAGATCTACGGTGGTTCAACCATACTACCGGAACTCCGGTGAACGTGAAAACTTAGAACCTCAAAATCATCTCGAAGATCAATCCACTAATGATTTTCAGCCTGAAATTCCGATTATGAAGCCTCAGCCACGCAAAAGAGGTCGTCCCTTGGGCTCAATGAACAAGTCGAAGAATGTAAGTGCGGCATACTTGACTAAAAAGGAGGAAGATGACTATGCTCTAGCTATCAAGTTGAGAAACGATGGTGTAATCACGTCACCTGAACCTCCCTTCGAAGAGTCGGATTCAAATGAGATAAATGATCTAATCAGTCGTGGTGTATTCAAATTTGAACTGTTTAATAGCAAGATCCATGGAAACCACCGAATTTTTAAATCACGAATGGTACGTGAGGTTAAAGGCAAAACAACCAAGCCCTATGAAAAGTCTCGCTTGGTAATACAAGGGTACAACGATCAAGCTAAAAGTACCATCCTGACGCAATCACCAACCATCCAGCGAATGAGCCAACGTTTGATCCTTGCTCTCGCCCCCTCATTAATGATGAAAGGAATGATCATCGCAATCAGGGATATCACACAGGCTTACCCTCAATCACATACCAATCTCTCCCGTGTCGTCTTAGCAAGCTTGCCCTCGGAACTTAAAACAAAGTACCCTGAAGGAACTATTATTCGTGTAATTAAGCCTCTGTATGGAATTGCAGAAGCAGGTGTTCACTGGTTCTCTACTTACCAAGGTCACCATAGGAAACTGCTAGACATGTCCACTTCGACATTTGATGAATGTTTTCTCATTACAAATGGAGAAATAGATAAATTTGGTATTGTGGGAATACAGACAGATGATACCCTCATGTTATGCACCAAATCTTTTTCTGCAACAGAGGAGGAGAAACTTACTGAAGCTCAATTCCGAGCAAAACCTAAGGTGATTCTATCGGCCGAAACACCTTTAGAATTCAATGGAGCAAGAATTATCTTTGAAAATGACGCAATTGTACTTAAACAGAAAGGACAGGGACTTAAACTCAACTTGGTAACTAACAAGGTGTTAGATCGAAATCAGAGGTATATTGAGCAACGTGCCCGAGGAGCGTATATTGCCTCCATATGTCAGCCCGAGGCAGCTTTCGATATGTCGGTAGCAGCACAAGCCAAAGATCCGGACGAAGTGGAATACACTGCTTTAAACCGGCGACTCAAATGGCAAATAAAGAACATACAGCGTGGATTACGTTTCGTTCCAATTAACTTGGCCACGGCTAAGATAATGGTCTTTACGGATGGATCATTTGCTAATAATAAGGACCTCAGCTCACAACTTGGATTTGTATTGATACTTGCTAATGAGGATCAAATCGGATCTAAGACCAAGGTTCGAGGTAACCTTATTCACTGGAGTTCGACAAAGTGTAAACGAGTCACCCGCAGTGTGCTAGCATCTGAAATCTACGGAATGGTCAATGGCTTTGACATTGGTCTTGCAATCGCATCTTCTTTAAAGATGATAACCGAACGTCTTAATCTTCCTGAAATGCCTCTAGTTATATGCACTGATTCTTACTCGTTATACGAGTGCTTGGTAAAGTTAGGTACTACTAAGGAGAAACGCCTAATGATTGATATTATGGCGCTTAGACAGTCTTATGAACGAAGAGAGGTTGCGGAGATTCGATGGATCAACGGGGAAGATAACCCTGCTGATGCTTTGACAAAAGTGTCACCGAATCGTGCCCTGGAACGATTCATCGATAATAATGAGTTAACGATTCGAATTGAAGGATCGGTAATAAGACCGTAATATTAGTCAGTAAGATATGGCAGACGGGGGCTTTCTATTCAGTGCTAGTTCATAAAGAAAAGATTGCCGGTGTGGGTTAATAAGCTTGGTCAAAGCTCGACGGAGAGAGTATCCATCATGACGTCAAATATTATCACGTGTTCTAATGTTAACGATTACTCTTGTATAACTTATGTAGATGATGGAAGATGTAGAGGAACACATATACATTTTCGAATAACCAACCTGACATTTGTCGACCCTTGTGATATCACATTGTAAGACCTTCCAACATATATAGTACACGCTTACCTAACCCTACACTTTATCGGATATACTTCCAGCACTACTGTGGCTTCTGGTTGGTCAGTTTGTGATTACAATGATTTCACGCAGGTGTCTCGTGGCTCCGACTAATCAACAATATAATGTGAGTAGAGCTTGAGGCCTAGAATACGTGAATCGATATCTGTAATACAGGATCGCCAATTTATTTCAATATTCCCCCGCACCACGTGAGCCAATCAACAGCACACAATGTGCACGGTCGGGCTTCCATCAATTGGAATCCACACTACTGTACCAGCCGTCTATTGGAATCGTAAACAAACAAAAAAAACGAATTCCCAGATATGGCGCCATCTAGGCATAAAACCCCTCAATATACTCCTTCCGCCTACGCCACGTAGCTGCTTAAATACCCATTAGGCAGCCTGAAGTGCTTCTATCTTGCTGGTTCCAATCTACATACCACAGAAAAGATCCTGTCAGGAACCAAGATGGAATGAAGGGTCCACAAGTCTAGAGCACTCTGAGGCTCTATCTCCAATAGATTACAACCTGCATTAAAGGCTGTCAGCACACACATGTGTGTGCCGATTCTTTTTATTTATTATTGTCCATCTGGGATCAAGTCTGTCAATAATTTCAGTGATTCAAAACTTGAGATTTAACATGTGCAGCTGTTTTTCACTGATAGACACAATTAACCTAGCAGCTCAACACGTTTGGGAAACTCAAGGGCTACGGCCCTATTCTTCACCATCTCTATGTCCGATTCAATAAATTCGCGCAGGTAATGCTAAGTCCGAGGTAGGAGATAAAATCACGACTATGGAATCGCTCAAACATACGAAGTTAGGCAAGCCACTTGTTTAGGACGATCGTAAATGAGGCTGATCAATAGGTCTTCTGCCACGAAATATATGCCTGACACAATTTTAGATGTGTCCACAACTATATCCGCTAATTTTTATTTAATTTTCTCATCATGTAGAAATACGTCTTGATTGACTCCATCAAACGGTCTAAATATTGTTGTGGGCATTCTTTCCGAAATGTGATGCGCAAAGATCCGGGCGTTAGTACATTGCCAAGAGAAGTTCCTTCTAGAGGCTAGTGCACGGCCTTTTATGACGCAAGGGGGAAAATGAAACAAGAGAAGCCGGTCATAGTATCCGTTCACCACATGGTAGAAAAGAGGATTTCGAGAAAATTTGCCTTTGTTATAATTGTTATAATTTTTGTGATGTTAGAATTTCTGTTTCCAAACATTGGGATGGGAGAGAAATCAAGTGGCTAGCTAGTAATTAAGTGATATATTTTTGAGTCAGATTTAATGGCTCCATTCCCAGGCTCAATAGTTAATGTCTGTGGTCATATCACTTGCAAGCAATTGATTGACGAGCCTTCAAATCTGAGACACTAAAGGACCCTGTCCATTTGAGCGATCAATATCATAGCTTCAAATTAAAATAGCGCAAAATAAATGACTTACTCGCCATAAACTGAGGCAGATTACTATCGTAGCTATGCCCTCCGGCGAGTTCATGTAGGAGCGACCATGCCTAAAGGGGACGTAGGCTTTCAGGATGATCCCACATCCTTGATCTACCTTCATGATTGGTGGTGGTGTCAGCTCTTGCATGTTTGAAGCTTATCCTGGACAAACTAAACCCTTTACAGCCCCAACACAAAAGACCTGTAGCTCTTCATATAATTAAACCCCTCTTCCCCTCCATGATCACTAAACTCTTCATCTCCTACCATCTATCTTCATATTGGAACATCAATCTATAGTGAGTATTGTACATGTTTCATTGCTTTGCGATTTCATGTTATGCTCTTTTGCCAGTGATATGTCCTTCGGAATCCATAGTGGCAGCCAAGAATGCCCCTCTATAACTCTCAAAACTACTCATCCTATTTGATTAGGCAATTATCATATCATTACCTGTGTATACTAACTCCCTCAATAGCTAAACACAAATCAATCTAAATCAGGACTGGTATAATTAGGTAATTTCTCTAACATCACGCGAATATATGAAGCTAATGTTAGTAATTGAAAAAGTCCAATATGGCAATCACAAAAATACATGCACGCTCTGTCTATGATTCTCGGGGTAATCCAACAGTAGAAGTTGACGTTGTCACGGAGACTGGTTTACATCGTGCAATTGTCCCATCAGGTGCATCTACTGGTTGGTGAGCTCGAGTTTATCACACAACTTTTGTTCTAAATATTACTACAGGTCAACACGAAGCAGTTGAGCTCCGTGATGGTGACAAGAGCCAATGGGCTGGCAAAGGTGTCACAAAAGCCGTCGCAAACGTCAATGACATTATTGGACCAGCCCTTATTAAGGAAGACATCGATGTTAAGGATCAGACTAAAATTGATAACTTTCTTATCGGTCTTGACGGAACACCAAACAAGGGAAAGCTCGGTGCAAATGCCATTCTCGGAGTTAGTTTAGCTGTTGCTAAAGCAGCTGCTGCTGAGAAGGTAAGTACGCTAAATGCGGGTATCAGGTGCACGGTTTAACTATTTGTAGAAAGTACCTCTTTATGCTCACGTCTCCGATCTATCTGGAACAAAAAAGCCTTATGTTCTCCCTGTCCCTTTTATGAATGTTCTGAATGGAGGGTGAGTCACGCAACAGTTTACCTACAAAATAGCGCTAAATTAATATAGATCGCATGCAGGCGGACGCTTGGCTTTTCAGGAGTTTATGATTGTCCCCTCGTAAGTAATACTCTTGAAACTGAGAATTAACTAACACTTGTTTAAGGTCAGCACCGTCCTTCTCCGAAGCTCTACGTCAGGGAGCTGAGGTATACCAAATACTAAAGGGTCTCGCTAAAAAGAAGTATGGTCAATCCGCTGGAAATGTTGGAGATGAGGGTGGTGTCGCACCAGATATCCAGACCGCCGAAGAAGCACTTGACCTTATCACTGATGCCATTGAGGCTGCAGGATACACAGGTAAAATGTTTATCGCCATGGATGTTGCATCGAGCGAGTTCTACAAAGAGGATGCCAAGAAATACGATTTAGACTTTAAAAATCCCGAAAGTGACCCAACAAAATGGTTAACTTACGTCGAGCTCGCCGATAAATATCAAACTCTGGCGAAGACATACCCAATCGTCAGCATCGAAGATCCATTTGCTGAGGATGACTGGGAAGCGTGGAGCTACTTCTATAAGACTTCTGACTTTCAGATTGTCGGAGATGATTTGACAGTCACTAATCCTATACGTATTAAAAAGGCCATAGAGTTAAAGTCCTGCAACTCTCTTTTGCTCAAGGTAAACCAAATTGGAACTTTAACCGAATCTATTCAGGCCGCCAAAGATTCTTATGCAGCTGGCTGGGGTGTCATGGTATCACATCGTTCTGGTGAGACTGAAGATGTCACTATTGCTGACATAGTTGTGGGTATTCGAGCTGGACAAATTAAGACTGGTGCGCCGGCCCGATCTGAGCGGTTGGCTAAACTTAATCAAATATTAAGAATCGAAGAGGAACTTGGCGAGAAGGCTGTATACGCTGGAGGTAATTTCCGAACGGCAATTAATCTATAATAGTGGGGGTAGTTGTGCAAACATGACACCTAGATATGATAATGCCCGATGTATGAAGGATAATGAACGTTTATAAAAAGATTAGAAAAAAGTATTGCATCGCATTTGATACTAGTAATTTCCAGTGCTTTAGAATAATTTCTCTGCTCAAACCCTGCGCTGTTTGATGGAAGTTGAAAACACTTTAAAATTAAGTGAATAGAGCCATGCACAACTTATTCCTGTGGGGGCCTCAGTTGTGACACGAGAATTGTGCTACAAACGTGTCCACCCACTTCACATTCTTTTCATTCTCGATTGGTAACGCTAATTATTTATACAACTCTTCACATATTCTCGAATTTCACGTCCTACATCTGTTTTGAGAAGCCTACATTCAATATGCCTGATAAATGGGGTAAGTTTCAAACAGTTTCATCTAATTTTTGAAGGATGAAGATTTGAGAAAGAAAAAAGGAAAATTCTCCTTGCGTTCCTTACTTTAATCCATCTCATTTTCAATACCATAGGAACCATGATTTAGCAAATTAGATTGTTGAGCATTAGCTGATGGCCATTTTCTGGAATAGACGATGAAGATGACGATTCCACACCTCCAGCGTCACCACGGGGCGTGCTTCCATCTACGCGAAGAAAATTTGAGGATGAAGAGAACGATAGCGATGTTCTAGACAGCTGGGATGCCGTCGAAGACTCGGACGTGGAGCGTGAGAAGGCAAAGGCTGTTGCAGAGCGGAAAGCAAAGGCAGATGCCGAAGCTGCTGCTAACAAGAAGAGCAAAAGCCAGCGGATCGCCGAAAAATTAGCGGAGAAGGCACGACAACTTGCTGAAAATAATGATGAGTCCAGTGAAGAAGACGTATCCACTCGACGCGAACGCTTACAGCAAATTGAGCAGGAATCTGATATGGCCCACGCTGTTGAACTGTTTGGTAATATTGGTATCAGTAACAAACGTAAGGTCACGACTGCAGCCAATACAGTTCAGGTTGATTCCAATGATCCAAGCTCTACTGTTGACCTCACTCTTCTTCCACTCTTTGATCCCAAGACAAAGCAACAATTTGAAGTTCTGCGGGATACTCTCGTCCCTGTTATCTCAAAAAATTTCAAGGAGGCGCACTATGTCATGTTTCTACAGGAATTTACAAAGCAACTAGCTAAGGACTTGCCTAGTGACCACATTAAAAAGATTTCCAGCACTTTAACAACACTAAGTAACGAGAAGATGAAAGAAGAGAAGCAAGCAGACAAGGGTGGTAAGAAGAGTAAGGCTGCAAAGACAAAGGTAGCTTTGGTTTTAAGCAAGAATAGCTCTGCTACCCCTGATGTACATGCCTACGATGACGAATATGCAGAGTAAGTCCTATTATTTCCAACGTCTAGAATAAAGGTTAACTGTAACTAGCGATGATTTTATGTGAGGACTTTAAAGCGCATAGCATCAGTATTGCTCAACACAGGCGTCGTCCAAAAGTTCTAGACACTAATCTCTTGATTGCTGTCAGGGCACAGTAAATTGGACCCTTGATGATCTCCGTAAGCCTACACAAGATCTCAATCACATTGAAGTAGTTTATATGGCCGCCGGGTAAAGCGAAGATCTGATTAGTGGTCAACAGCGTTCAAGTTGCAGGTCACTACATCAGTTCTAACCTAATGCTAGCGAAGTTAGCCCTGAGGGTAAGAAAAAATCTTCGTTATCAATTTACTCATTTTGCGCTCGCGTAAAGTTTACAATGTAGTTTCCACGAATTTGCTCTTACGCTGCGAACTTTTACGTTGCAAACATTTTTTATAATGGACTCATGACCCAATGTTACAATTAGCCGATTCGTAAGCGTAATAAATCTCCATACCAAGTCTGGGTGATGCGGAAATATCTACATCACATGGAGTCATGATTTCTAGAGTAAATTGCTCTTTAATGTGGTTTATTGATGAATATGGCCATAAATTTCCCCTCGTGACATTAGATCTGCAGCTCTCACCAGTTTGGCCTACTCCCACCTTAGAAATCTCCTCAACTGTAAATTTTTCAGAGAGGGTTCAGTACGAGTATCAAATTATGACAAATTTTTAACCCTCAGTGTCTTTAACTAAGCTTCACTCTCTTTGGTGCGATGCCCATCGTATCAATGATCTCTAAAGTAATGAAAGAGGGCAGCATCATTGTGTATGATACGGCCTGGGTTACAGAGGAGCCCAATATACTAGGTAGTCTATGACTCAAGTGATACAATAAACTAAACACACGGTAGCCTTTGCTGCCTGTGGAGTACTTGATGCCGAACTTGCACTCGTCTAAGGATTCCTTGTTCACTCGCCAGGGTGTTTCGCTAGTGCCAAGCAACATAAGGATGCACAGGGGTTATGATCAGTGGGAGTAAAGGAAGAACTTTCTAGGTGATTCCATGATAGATGGGCGAACAATGAAGCAGTGTATGCTAAGTGAATTTACATCATACCATCAATTGGATGGTGGTAGAAAATTCCGCGATTCTGTTTTGAGAGAGCAAGCTGCGAGTCAAGCTACCTCAATTGTGAATATGAAAAACTTACTACCGCACGATAAGCACGTTGGAGCCTAATTTTAATATATCAAGAGTTCACATTGATGTGGTCTTCCCCGGTATAGTTCGAGTAGCCTGGGCACTTACTCCACTTGGGATGGAGACAGCTATGACCACATTCTGCGCAGAGAAAAGTTAATCGATGACGGAGGCATGTCTGGATAACTCAGGGTTTTTGAGACGTCCCCCTGGGTGGGTATTCACGGATGAGGGTTGACTTGGGGTGAAGAAAAAGCCACCATAACTTCACAGTGGTACTTGCAAACGAAATCCGAGGCATGAGTGCTCTTCCTTAATGTTGAATCATCCGTTTTGTACTTTTCTTTGATATTGTGTTACAGCTAGATAGCTGCATACGCAATTCAAATATGATGCAAAATAAAAAGACATGGGCCTGCATGAAGACCATACCAATTAAGGTAATATGTACAGGGGTCTAACCCCAGTCATTTGACAATTGTACTTTTGATACCCTTAAGAGACTGAACATGTCCTTACATTGTTATAGACTCATTAGGACAATAAACACTCACTCATTCTCTCATAGGACTACTCTCTAGAGGCACTCCATATAAGAAAAGTTTTTCACTTTAGCTCTGACCACCTTTCCTTCTATGACCAATCCATGACTAATCCAAAGTTCCTCTCGGATTAGTTTCAGGGTTAAATTTACTCCAAGCAGATTAGGGTACTGTATACAAGAGTATTCATAAATTAGATTCACTGGCTTAGCAAATTTTTGTCGGAGATTTATCCCAGGATTTGGAAATGTAGATATGCCTTTAACGGATCTAATGAAGAAGGACAAACCATTTTCATTGGGACCGGAGCAGGAGAATTCGTTTTTAGAGTTTAAAAAGAAATTTATGGAAGATGTTGTTCTCCGGCATTTCGACTAGGATAAACCAGCTCGCCTCGAAACTGACGCATCGGATCGTGGAACGGGAGGGGTACTACTTCAGCCGGATGATACAGGACATTGGAGACCAGTTGCTTTCTTCTCGAAGAAAATGAACCCAACCGAGTCTATTTATGAAATCTATGATAAAGAACTTTTGGCTATTGTACAAGCTTTTGAAGAATGGAGGCCGGAGTTAGAGGGAACCTCTAACCCTGTAGAAGTTGTCACAGACCGTAAGGCCCTAGAATACTTCATGAAGTCAAGGCTATTAAGTAGACGTCAGGCACGTTAGAGTGAGTTTCTATCGCTCATCAACTTCAAGATTTGCTATAGTTCTGGTACACGAAATACTCCAGCAGATGCACTATCGCGTCCCTCTGGATCACCTGATCCTTCCCTACAAAAATACCTCGAACAGCATTTGCTGAAGCAGCATAATTTGTCGCTAGGGATGGAAAACAATGCGCAGGATATCTTAATGGGTGTAGTCGAAGAACGTGTAGAAGTTTTTAATACCTCGGAAACTGATTCTGAAGAAAATGGGCCTACATTGACATTTGTGGAAAGGATCAGGAAATCAACGCGCCATGATGAGAGCTTGTTGGCAGTTATTAATGCTCTTGAAAATAGGAATGCGCAACGAGTTTGCAACGTCACTACTGCTGAGTGTTCATGGAATGATGGTATCCTTCGATATTGGGAGAGGATTATAGCCCCACAGTGCTATGTTGATAATCTATTAACAACTGAGTTAATTAAGTCCTACCACAAGCCACCAGCGGCAGGTCATCAAGGCGCCGCTGCAACCTATGCTGTGTTAGCTCGAGACTTTTTCTGGCATGGTATGTTGCAACAAGTAAAGAAATTTGTTAGGAATTGTCATACCTGTTCGAGACCCAAGCCCTCTCGCAAGGGAACACAAGGGTTACTGCGTCTACTTCCTATTGCTAGAGATCTTTGGAGACATGAAGCCATGGATCTTGTGGTAGACTTACCTGTTAGTAAAGACTGGGGTGGCGTGGGATTTAATTCAATGTTTGTGGTAGTTGACTGGATGACTAAGCAATTACATTTCACACCATCTAACGACCTGACCACTTAAAGCACTACATACATGATTTACCACGACTGCTTCCGACTGCATGGATAACCCGTATCAATTGTATCCGACAGAGTCAGCCAATTGACGGCTGAGTTTTGGAAATGGCTTTGCAAACTGTTGCAGATTAACCACCGCCTGTCGACTGCATTCCACCCGCAAAATGACGGCCAAACAGAACGAATGAATAGTCGAATCGAGTAACACCTAAAAGCTTATGTAAACTTCGCGCAAAATGATTGGGTTCGCTTCCTTCCATTGGCTGAATTTGCGCTCAATAATCATAACTCTCAGGTCACTCGCGTTTCCCCGCTTCTAGCTTGGTACGGTTTAAACCCTCGTTCAAGATCTGAGCTTTCTATACCACTGCGCGGAACTCGAAGACCAGCTTCAATTCAGTTTGATCGGCGTGTGGCTGAAGATTTTGTATCAAAATTTAAGGAGGTTGACAAGTTTATTACTAATAATATTTTGCTTCACTCTGCAGAACATGAAGAACAAGTTAATAAAAGTAGAACCGCCGCAAGAGATTTTAGACCAGGAGATAAGGTTTAGTTAAATGATAAGAACATCAAATCACTTCGACCTTGTCATAGACTCGATTTTAAAAAAGAAGGTCCATTCAAAGTCATTGAGTCTGTCGGCAACTATGCATATAAGTTGGAACTCCCCTCTTCTACAAAAATTCACCCTGTTTTCAACGTCTCCCTGCTATCCCCTGTGGCTAATGATCCACTACCCGGACAAACATCGAAACCAAGACCAGTTTTAGAGGCCGAAGATGATCCTCCTGAATACGAAATTGAAAGAATAGTTGGGACTCAATGGATTGATGGGGAATTATATTATGTGATATGATGAAAAGGTTACAGACCACAGGACGAGTGGTCAATCCCAGCATCTGAAGCCCAAAATTTTAAGAATTGGTTACAGAGTTTCATGAAATAAATCCCTCCGAGCCACACCCTAGTGACAAACAACCACAGGCCAAGAAGCAACCAAAACAAAGATCAAAGCCTCACAGGAGCTCGGCTCGGATAAGGGGAGGGTAGTGTCACGGACCAAGGACCTATTATAAAACAGTAGGAACGATATACGAAGACATGTGAGCCATTCTACTGTATTCTATCCTAATCTGTTCTCTTCTAACCTACCTTAATCTATTCCATTCCATTCCATTCTAATATGTTCTGTTCTGTTCTGTACTGTACTGTACTTCTCTAGGCTATTCTATTCTGTATGAGAGTATACTGGAAAGTTCGAGAACAATAGAGAGGAATATATAATGGGTAATGGAGATGACTTTAGATTGGCAGATGATGGTCTTGTATTCTTAGGAACTCTTTAGACATTATTGAATCTTATGTTGAATTCTTGAACTATCGACCTGTTGGACCTTCGAAATGCGAACTCCTCTCGTACTCTTGACAGATCGACGTTCTGGTTTGAGGTATACTGAAGCCAGCCCAAGCTGAATATTGACGCACAGCTTTGTTAAGCTCAAGTTTTGATGCGTCTTCTCCGACAATATTGGCCTTTAATTTTTCACCGAAAGCAGGGAGTACTGTTAAACATGTTTTGGCGAATTCCCTGTACAATCTTTGCTCTGTCCAAACAGAATTGGAAATTTCCTTCGAAGAGATTAGTACACCAGTCCAAGCTTGAGCACACTGATCATGACTCTGTCCTTTGGATCCCTGTCGAAGCTTTTCGATCTGAGACTCAAAGTTGGCTTCTTGCTGAAATATGGTGAATTTGCACATTTCTCGCAGATTGTGTAGTTGCTTGCGGGTTGAGATATTCTTCTCAAGCGAGTCCCTATATCCCTGTGAGATTGTTCTCCATAGGTAAGCTTCCATTTGGATTAAATCTCTTTTCCACTTTGAGTGCTCGGCTGCAAGGATACGGTAGTCAACTCGCCATATTTCATCGTCTATATCTGCTGATAGTTTTGTCCGGCTCGGAAGTTCCAAATTTGATGAAGTGTCTGGATCAAGGTAGCTCCAGATCCCTAGTAGATTAGCTTCATATTTGAACTACTCATACCATCTTTTCCAATCTGAGTTGCTTTCGAGAGCGAGAGCCGATGTGCTCGGAGAGTTTGCAAACTCCATAATTGTAAGTTATAAGATTTTTGGGACAAAAAAGTAAATAAAATACAATAGTTCCACAATCAAGAATGATCTTATGCTTAAGGTCGAAATAATAAAAATAGAGTGAAGATAACGTGTAGTTGGTCGATGTTAGAGATGTTTCTCAAGTATTTGATCAATTGGATAATGTAACGCTATCCGGGCTCACAACCATTAGACTTTTTAGGAAAAATGAGGTTTGTATTTGGTGAAATCAAAAATTTTCTATCTTTTTTGTTAAAGGTCAGAACCTCTTCTATGTATTTAATGATCATATTTGATCCGACTTCTACCTCAGTTTAATCCGAAACATCCAGAGCGACGTTTAAACGCTGACTCTGTTTCGTTATGCGGATATAACAATTTCAAAACAACCGCAAATACAATGAGTCCGTGATTGTAAAACAACGAAATTAGACGAGATACCAACTTGAATGCCTGAACATGACTTAACGTTCTACAAATATTTGTATGTACCCATATTGCCGAGACCGTGGCCTGTAATAAAGGTTGAAGTTCTTGTAGGCTGTGGTACAGTTTATCCCAAACATCATTTGTTCATCCCATGCACCGGCATACTGTCATCCTTCATGATGTGAAGCACCATTAGGGCAATGGTCTCCCAGGGACCAGTACCCAAGCTTTGTAGTGCGAGATGGCCGTTCTTCGATGAGGCAGATTCCCGATTTCAATTGGAGTAATACCATCATGGGTGGTTGACACGAGGTGATGCAGCTAGATTGAACTACAGGATTCTTGTGAGAATGAAAGGTCTACAATTAGACTTGAACTTGAAAATTACAACTTGACAGGAAGGAAACCCAATCATTTCAGACGTGACACGAGTAAATAGGCCAGAAAATCTCATTGCCTACAGTTCTGAAATTAACGAGAAGTCGTCGATTTTTGATGTGCTGGAGCTTGCCCTCGACATTGATTGGGATTCAATTGTTCTTGGCTATCCCAGATATGCAGGGCATACTGAGCAGGTACACTGACACCGTTGGGCATGACTAGATCTTCTCTGCCGACTTAAAGAATTTTGCGGCAATCATGAAGGTGCCACCCAAGGACAGAAGAGGAGGACAAGGTAACTCGGTTCCTTAGAGGTGTATTGCCATCGGATATCTGTGCCTACCCGGATGGATCGTCGGAGGGGCATGGTCGCTGAGCATGGGGTTTCGTCTTGAAGAGGGATGGAAAGACTCTGTTGAAGGGATGTGGTATCAAGCATGGTGGTGAAGTGCTCGATGCGGAAATACTAGGGGCGAGGAAGGCCCTGGAAGCTGCGCTAGGATTGTTGGAGAGAGAGAACGGGAGAAGTAACGGCAGGCAGTGGATCAACGTGTTGACGGATAGTCAGTCTGCAGTGAAGGCACTGCTGACGGGAACCGCCACAACAAGTCTCGACGATGTACGCCAATTTAGGGCGCTATCAGAAAAGGCTCGAGTCTCGGTTCAGTGGATACCAGCCCACTCTGGGATACAGGGAAACGAAGAGGCTGATAGAGTTGCACGCTCCGGCCTCCGACAACTTCCAAGTAAAGAGAGCCAGCCTGGCTCCGTCACTTTGGCGTACGTTCGTCGACTGATGAATCGGAAACAACAAGTACTTCTCGAGGAATGATGGGAGGAAGCATGTCCACCTAGGTATCGAAATCTGGGTCTACCCATGCGACGACGCAAGCCACAGGAGCAGGCATTTTCTCGGCGGTTACTCCGTGAACTGATCTCAGCCCGAACGGGACACGGAAACTTCGCTGCATGTCACCGCCGTTTCAACAACTTCGCAGCTTCAATGGAGTGTGCGTGTGGGGAGGAAACATCACCTCTCTACTTCATTCACTGTCGACTGCACGAACGTCAGACGCGTCGACTCCGAGGGACAATGTCACATCACGACTTTGTCCAAAAGCTTCTCGGGCCTAAGTGCCTTGAGGATTTTACAAATTTTGCGCAGGAAACCGGCTGCTTCGGCGACTCACCTGCAAGTCCATCACCAGCTCTCAGCGGAGACAACATTAACTAGGTCATAGCACGAAGCATGACAGGAAGGAAAACGAGACGAGGAGTGTCGCTTTCCCACCTCAAATTGGAGTATTGGATTTGGAATTTTGGTTATGGGAGTCTGTGGGAGCACTTATATTCTTTCTTATAACTAGCTACTGGTTGTGTAGTGGGTCACGCAGTGAGACCGAGTCGGGCATGTGGGAAGCATGATCTTGGCCGTGTACACCGGTACTTGACTCCTAGGAGATATAGAGCATAGCTTAGGACCTAAAATTTAAAAAAAAAAAAATGAAGGTGCCATAATGCCTTCTTAGACCATCCGCCCTATATCCACGCGACTGATGCGCTCCTTTGCACTCTAGCTCACTTTCCATCATCAGATTCATCTTAACAATATCTTTCCAACCAACACTTTACAAAATGTTTGACTACCCTGAAATTTTTGCTCATCTCATTGCGAATCCAATCGAAGCTATTCTTACAACTTTTCGAAACGATTACACGGAGGAGAGTGCTCAAGATAGTAATTTTCACTGAATAAACAAGGAAATGGAAGCTAACATATTAGATGTCGCGAAACTACTTTTGACATTAGTTACTCATATACTAGGTATCAGTCCCAACGATGAACTGAGTATACTGGCTGGTAAATTTTCCAAAATCTCCTCGGAGATTATGTTCCATGGACTTCATCTCACAGAACTTCAATCTCTCGTCAATGCTATTTCATAGTACCAAGATGAATCTGAAGTATTCAAAATTGCGATTGAACTTGTCGAAAAATGAGCAGATAAACCAAGTGGCAATCAACGTAGTGACCGCAGTGATCGATCAGTTTTGACACCCAAACCCGGTCCATTTTCAATCACCCGAAGTGTTTCAGAGGCAAAAGGTTTTAATAAAAATGTCACCTCCATGACTGCAGCGCTAAGAAATGAACTGTACAAAAATGTAATTGTGGATTTGGACAATTTTTGGACGGAGCTTTTCCTGGGTAAAGATTGGTCCAATCAAACATGGAATATTTGGCAAAGCTATGAAGCATATGAATTAAAAGAAATAAAGATCCGGCAAGAAGATGAGATCATGAGACGGAAAATGGATGCACTTAAAATCCAGAAAGAAGCTGAGACGGAGTCACAAAGAGAAACCATGAACGATAAGCAGAGGGTAACCCTGGCTCAGGAAGTAAGAGAAGAAGGAAGGCTACCGGATACTTGTAAAATTAGTCGAAGTTATAAAAATAAATTGGCCAGAAATTTAGAGACTATGATGGAGGAAGAAATACCAAAATTTTTCAGAAAAACCCGAAGTCAGACAAAAAAAGAGGACGAGGAATCGGCAAACTTGGCAGAAAACGAATCGCTCGAAAGTTTTCAAAACATCGGGAATACAAATAACAATGATAGCCAGAACCAAATCAACCCGACAGTGGCCGAACCTGTGGTAATCCAGAAAATAGTCTATACTAACAAGATTCTGACTGAAGACATGACTGAAGATGAAATGTGGGATTGGCTAGGTTTTTTTCGTAAGAATTTTTTGAATCAGCTCACAGATCAATTCAACACATCATCAGAAAAGTTTCCGTCAATCATCAAAGAAGCAGAGGGCTCCCAGTTGCGCTGCAATTATTTTCGCTCCTCAGACGAATGTCGGATGAGGGGTACTGACCACGGTTACCAGGTTGACTTCCTCACAAAGAGAATCAGGTCTTCTAATGCTCATAGACATGGGAATTAATGGAGTGATGTGAGAGTTCTGGGTGAGATTACGAAAAAGTCTTGTGCAGACCAAAGGAACGAAAAGTTTTATCAGCTGTCAAGACTTGCTCTCCAGGTGTTTTACACACAGCCACTTCGTCATTTTGTATATGGATTTACCGCGTTTGAATAAAACTTTGAACTGTTGGTGTTTAATCGCTCGGGCGCATATAGCTCAGGCTTATTCACTCTCAAAGAAGATAAGGAAAAGTTTGTGCGAGCAATCTGTTCATACCTTTTGATGAGTGATGAAGAACTAGGTATTGATTCATCTATTCAAAAAGTCAATAGACGTTCTTCTGTATCCATTCATGATGAGAAACTTAAGGAGACAAGGGAATTGGACATCAACCCTAATCCTTTTTTCATGGCGGGTACCATAGTTACTCGTGGAACTACCTGTTCTGAAACCTTGGATAAAAGTAAAGTTGTAAAATACTCGTGGGTCAGGATTCCAGGTAAATCAGAAATCGACTTTTTGCAACATGCCAGTGGAATAGATGGCGTGGTCGAGTATGTCATGGCAGACGTAATCTGTACCATAGGTGATCATCTGAAGGACCTCAACTTCAGCAATGCGAAGTATTTGAAGATGATGGAATGCAATCCTTATATCTGCATGGCTGAAGGTGTAGAGGTACCTCGGACTCCCCAGTTGAGAGATCGAGAACTTCTCAGAATAGTTATCACACCTCGTGGCCATAGTCTTCGTTCCAGTAAGACGATTATGGAGTTTCTTGTTGGCATACGAGACGCAATTGTGGCACACCGCCGCCTGTATGTCGAAAAGAAAATACTTCATGGTGACATCTCTGACGGTAACATCATTCTAGCGAATGTGGGTGGTAAAACTCAAGGTATGTTGATCGATTTGGATCACGCAGAAATAGTTGAACCACCACCAGGCAAAGATGACAACTTTTTCTTGACTGGCACCATGAAATTCATGGCGCTTGAGAGGCTACATCATGCTTCAAATCGCAGGGAAAGTATATTCGCGCGTTTCATCACGACCTGGAGTCGCTCTTTTATGTGTTCATTGTAGGATGCATAACATATGAACGCAAAAAGAAGTCGGAGAACGTGATCGAACTGCAGATGTGGCACAGTGACGACATCGGGAGTAATTATCGGGCAAAGAAATTCAGTATTTGGGACTTTCAACTAAGAATTCTCGATAACTTCTCCGCCAACTTCTTAGGCTTGAAGGCTTTAGCATCTGAACTCCGAGAAATACTTTTTGGGGAAAACGGCAAAGAGTACGGTACCCCTGATGAGCATGAACCGGAATATGAGAAGATTATTAAGGCATTCAACAATACCATTGAAGATCTAAGAGGTAAGATCCATCCATAACTACACAATTTCTGTTCCCTTGAATGAGAGTCAAGCTGACACACTGTCAATTGTTTAGATGGGAAAATCCCAAATAAATTGTTGAAGAGAGGAACATCATGAAGTGTGTTACAGGACTTTCTTGACCGATATGGATGTCAGGACTCCCCAGACTTTCGTAAAGCGGACAATCTTGTACTTGGGTGGATTCTTGAATTGATCTTTTGTTTAATTAAAATAGAGATTATTAAATATCCACTAAAATGAACGAGGTACACTTTTGTTGTCTTCCGGTTGACATTTGCTTGGAAGTGCAATGTGCATTGGCAGAAAATTGGATGAGACGCTATATTTTTTCTAAACTTAGCTTTGCTTGCCGTACGAGAATTGATTTAACCATAAAGATTTTAGATTGACTTGTTATATGTTTCAAATAACACTTTTGTAAACAAGTAATTAAAAATTTATTCCTCCAACCATCTTCACAAGCCACTATCATACTGTAGGCTACCACATTGATTAGAGACTCAATTTGTAGGGCATGGATGAGCTGCACAATTCATTCCATAAACTCTGAAGTCAAACTACATCAAACTCAATGAATCAGACATGCAACGGCACTGAAAACCTTTTGATTGTCTCATTCATTGAAGAAACTTGTTCAGGCTATTTTTGGATAGCCAGGATAGAGCTTAACGAAAAAAAAGGTTCGTCAAATAGTGAGATAAAACAGTTGCTCCTTGCATCCAAATATACTTGACCTGCCTTTAAGCGAGGAAAAGAAGGTAGTACGGGTAATGGGCGGTGCACCATTATAATTGATCCCACTATCTTACTAGCAATCTTAGCGGCATTAACAGTTTGGCGCACCACCCCAAATATGGCCCTGCACAGCAAGGCAGGTATCTCACCAGCGGAGATGTTACTTTAACAGAAACCTTAGCGAACCGCTGTATGTGTATGGTGACCAAATAAATGACCCCTTGTCAGTAGGTCAAACACTTGTAGTAATAGTAGTGATTTTCGACCTGAGTTGCCTGACAGCGTCAAACATTCAACAAACAGTCTCCCTAAGAGTATGAGATGGTGCTAAGCTAGAATATAGTAGTACAGCACGAAGTAAAGAGATAAATTGCCCCAGACCGTCCAATGTACTCATCTCTAGCATTTTCTCGTCATAGACCAATAAATACCTCCCGCCTCATTCAACACACTACCTCGAGAAAGCAATTCAGGCAAAAGTGTGCCACCAGTGACACTATCTCAGATCCCTTCTCCCAGACCTCAAATCCTCCCGAAATAAGCCTCCGGCCGTGGCAAATCCAAAGAGTTGCGACCGGCCAGCTAGTCTCAGTCCCCAGGCGTGGGAAGACGAGAACTAGTGGCTCCAGATGGCTCAAGTCTCGGCCGGAGCTCCGGGTCGCGACGCATTCCCTGTCGCAATGCTCACGCATGCAGTGTCAACGAATTACGAAGCAGCTGAAGAAGATAAACGGTTGGCCGAAGATGGAATACGCCGACGCGCGCGAGGCTTAGTCGAATTTCGCCGTAGCGCAGTGGTTGGCTCGCGACCAAACCAATCTTTCAGGTCTCGTGTGATGGATGGTGAGGCGAGCCCCGCCCAATCTACCGACACGGCCTAGTGTATCCAAAGCTCAGTGACGACACGTCTCAGCGTCCAAGTCTGCGGCCGTGGCGAGCCACCCATTGTGTGCGCAGGAAGACTCCATGGCGCGCGGCCGGAGACAAGTCTGGCTGGCAGATGTTCATGAAGGGCGCGAGAGAATAGATCTCGGAAAGGGGCGAAATTGGGAGTCGGCAGGGAATCTTCACCAAGGGCGCCGTGCGCGCCACGACTCGGTCTAAACCAGTGCTCAAAGCACTACAAACATGGTCACGGTCGGATAGTGCAGTTATTCATCGTCTTGGCCGGCCTACCGACTGGATCCTACACTGCTCGAACACTTGTCCGGCTTGAGACAGCAGATGACTGGTTCGGCTCCAGCAAGACTACAACACAATCTTCACCGTGCTGCCGTGCATGGGTGATGGGGGTGTATGTGCGTGTGTGTTTTGTTCAGTGTACAACTTGAGTCGATGACTATGCAGCACATTGGGCTCTTCTCTGACCCAGGCCACAGCTTGTCACCATGGCTGTAGCGGGTGCCGGGTATGCTTCAGCAACTCATCGTATAGCTTTAACCCAACCATCTGATGGTGATAGTGGGGATGTGGTGAGAGATGAAGACGATACAGACGGCGAAAGCGATTTGGAATCCTCAAAATAACCACCGTGTCACTCAATCTCGACTCTACAGTGAGAGCTAGAGGTTCGCCGGGCACACCACTGACAGGTGTTGAGAATACTCGTCAATCAAGGCTGATGTGAGCTACGAAGGCCTCCAGAATTCTCATGGAGTATCTACGGGGGGAGAGTCGACTGTTTGGTGTGAGCAAGAATGCCTTGGAGGTATGTGCAAACGAAATCCCGCGCACGAATATCTCTGATGTCGAAAGATTCATCCAAAGTCTCTGCGTTTCAATGATCATACATCGCAGCTATGCAGCTGATTAAAAATGAAACAAGGAGGAGATATTCAAAGTGAAGGCGTGCATGAGGCGGCACATTACCTGCGGTATCTATGGACTTGGGGAATGGATAAATACCAGTCACCACTACTCCCCAGCTCTCCCAGCTCTCGTATAAGAGGCTGCAGAGCTCTGATGCTTCCACTGGCCAAGAGATGCTTCAAACGGGCTTCTTTCTCACTCCCTGAAGCCAATAAATCTTGTAGGACTGAGGAAAGGCTTCTTTACAGCACACCCTATCTATCAAGACATTCCCAACATTTCCACGTATTCCCGATTTTTCGTGAAGCTGGGAACAAGGATAGTCTTTCTTCTATATATATAAAATTCTACTGCACACGGCTAGTCGATCTCTGAAGGCTACAAAGGATGGCCATATCCTCAAAACTAATCCGGAGGTTTCAAGACTGTCAGGCACCCGCGAATGATCGTCTACTTGGTTAGAGAGAACTCAAATTGTTGGACAAAAGGGGCATCTAGTTGTGTGGTTGAGTGAAGACTCGTGAGATATAGAACTAATAGACAGGGGCGGTTAAGTAGACGGAAGGAACTTGGAAATTTCAACCCATCATGGTTTCGAAAATAGTACTTCTAAAATGGCCCTACTGGCGTTTGGAATAGTTGAATATTTTCATTTATATTTTCATTTCCGCCAAAAACGTCGATATGTTTTAAGCCAGGAACAATAACGCCATATGTAACGTACAGCATCCGGTTACAACGTGAATAGACGGAGAATTCAAATTTTGATCTAGAGAAAATTCGTTAAATTTTTTTGAAAGATTTCTAAAAGTGCTTGCTTTAGGCCATAGGCTACAACATTTCCTTCGTAGTGCCCTATCCCTGTTTAAATGGGTCATGTCACTGAAATAAGTGGTAATATCTCTTGGGAGAGTCATCCATATGAGACTGACTCACTCGTGTGTGTTTGAAGTGCACAACTAGACTGATGTGACTGAGGCGATACCATTGATTTTTTGAAATTCATTCGCTCATTGACTATCTAGAAAACTCAAGGCTACATTCATAACGCTCATCCTCCAACTCCAATCTTGCAGGTCAACCACTGGTCAACTTTGGGTATCGTACTCGCAATATACGGCCGTGAATGAAATTTTGCCCCGACTTGGCCTTATTTATCGTCACATAAGGTTTGAGGACTAGTCCATATGTCTTGCTATTTTAGAATATTGGATTTCAGTCTTCCCATATTGTGTCTAGATTGAGATCACCCCTGCGTTCGGCGCCACAGACACTCCATCTCTTTCGCTTATCGCGACCATAGACTATACCGGGCATTCTGCCACGCCCGACACCTGTTGTTTCCGGTGTATTCTTGGATTCGGCTTTGTTATTGCCTTCAGATGCGTCTGCAGCTGCTTTGCGTTGGGCACTACGTTCCGCTTCTAGGGCCGCCTCTTCAGCGTCTGGAGAATCTGGTATGGTTTCTAAGCTGGAGATACTGGGGCTTCGAGATCTTGCAGAGGTGGGTGTAGAAGGCATCAAGAAAGAAGAGAGAGATCCAGGGCTACTAAAAGGTGCCGAGTAACAGTAGTTTGCTCCCAAGAATGAATCGCTGTAACGTGATGAGCGCGTAGCTGGTGGAGAGGTAAGAGGAGGGATAGCGGATGCACCAATTCCCGGGCTGTTCTCCTGTGGAAGAGCGTAGCGCGGAGACATAGGCTGGCGTATTCGAGGACAGGGATAGGTTGCAGATGAAAGCGACGTGTTTGGGTCATAAACTCGCGGTGTCAGATGTTCTTTTTCGTTTAAGCTGTTACCTTCTGCGTATATCCCAATTGTGCGATTTGGTATGCCAATAAAAACCTCATCTACTGGTTTTCTTGGGGAACGAGCACGACGCATCGGGATTCGTGGGCTGGCTGGAAGAGGGTTTGGGTAGGCCCGTAGTTGAGTTTTGCTATTCAATCCCGGCATCGACTGCGTCCTTGACATGGGCGGTGGGCTCAGAGTTCCAGAGGAAGATCGGGAAAGTAGTTGCATTCGAGGTCGCGGAGAGATGTCGGGGGAAATAGTGTAAGGACTCGCTGGAGAGCTGGAAGAGAGTGGCGAAGGAAGAGACAGTTCAATGGGGTGTCGTGGGACGGATGAGTTTTCGGATGAGTCTTGCGATCCATGGTGCGCGTGGAACGAAGAGTCTTTAAGAGTCAAGGTTGGAGCTGATGAGGCTCTAAACTTCTCCATTCTTTCGGCTTCAGGTACTGGCTCCATCATGGAATAACCTGTATGCGGAAAGGTTAGCATATCCCGACGTAGTCTTGTGGGGAATACAAGTATTTGAAAATAGAACATACCCAGGCCTTGGAGCCAGAAATCGAACCAGTTTAGGGAGTCAATTTATGCGAGAAGTTCCTATTCTATTCCTGGCGGTCGTCTTGAGAGATTCAAGGGACACCCAAGTCTTTGTTCGGGCAGCCGCTTTGCATTCAGATGAGGGTTGATGAGCGGCTGACGTTTGAGGGCAGAGTCAGTCCCGATAAATGGAATAGCCACAGAGTCAGTTGCACCTGGCGGTTGAGGCTGATAAGATACATAAGACGACCACAATAAGAGGCCAATAGTCTAGCGTGATGGGGAAGGAATATTAGGAGCTCGACGATTATGCGAACATGAGATTGAGGACCAGGAATAGAGTAAGGTGGGGAAATTGAAAGATGGACACTTGATGACAACTAGAAGAGATTTTGAATATTAATTTAAGGCCGTGCCAATTGCGGAAATGTCGACACGACGATGATCCGACGTGTTGATGCTGCGATGGTTATTAATGTAGATTCTGCGGGGCGGGTGATGGGCTGGTTCGGAGACTGGCAAGCGGACTCATTAGGAGTAAAGGATGAATGTTGTCGAGGAGAAGCCCTTTGTTGCCCAGTCCCCCTCACTCCCCCCCCCCCCGGTCGCTCGCCTCTCCTCCCCCCCCCATCTGCGACATTGAAACTCCTGGGTAAACAGACTAGAGCCACTGATCAGCCAGCTCTTAGCCCCAAGACGGGCGGGCGATGCGAAGAAGCAATTGTCTCTCGCTTCCTCCACTGTTACGTCTGGTCGCCCCAAACCCTCGCTTCGCTTGTACTCGTTCGTTCGTGATGCCTTTGGCTCTTTGTGTTTGTCCCCCTCCCCGCCGGGCCGCTCGTGCCTCGTCGTCTCTTCTTCCACATACACCCTGTTCACGCAATGCTAAGCGACGCGTGCTCAGCCTAGCAACATCCTTTGCTACTCGTCTGTTGTCTCAGCTATGCCGTTCCCATCTTGGCGTTGCCGGCTACATAATCACCTCTAAATATCACAGCATCGTTCTAGCCTCGCAACCACACACTCATGCTTAACTTCTCCCGCATCCCGTAGCGCTCTGTGATCAGGGTGTTATGGCCCCCAACGTCTACACTTTGCCTCTTGTTCAGCTGCGGCATGTTGACAGTGGACCATATCCGAGCAATGCAATAACTGCCCTGTCAGGAGTTGGCGTTAGCTGTCTAGCTTAAAGGTTTCCATGGAGTTTGTATAGGGCCAATATTGGCATGTATAGATTCAAAGTAACTAGCCGGCCCGTAGCCAGGACACTTGCATTGACGAATCATATTGGTTGAAGCTTGACCGCGGTTAAGACACGCACTAAAATACATGACGCCCCCCAAAGCAACGGCAGCTAGCGTAGTTGAAGACATGGCAAGTCACTCCAGCATTTTAGATTCCCCGGAATTACTGTAGTATTTGATGTCATCACACGGTATTGAATGAGGCAGACGAGCTTTCTGGCTGTGCGGGTTGCGCAGCGACTGGGTAGTAGGCAGAGGTTCTCGATAGAGGCGAGTATTATCAGGGCCTGGCAAATTTGACGGGCAGACGGAGTCGAGCTTTGTGGCAGATAGTGGTCACGAGATCCCTGAAACACCAGACCTGGACCCAGCCAGGCGGGCCATGACTGGGTCTAGACCCTTGGAACGACAACTACGCAGCCACGGCGGAATGTATGCGGTTGTGGAAAAGTTAATGCATGAACGCTACCTCTCAATATTGCAGGCGTCAATCTCCTTTACCCGCTCCCGCTCCTCTTGCTTGGCTCCCTCAGGAGCCGGCTGGACATAATTGACATGCTTCGCTTCCATCGAGGGGCGTAGCGTAGCGGGCTCTCTGCTATTATCGGGCCCAAGCTGTGGCGAAAACGGTCACTGCCACGACTGGATGTTTCGCTTCAGCCGCTGTATCCTTGCCATGGGCTCATGACTGACGGCTGATATTTCGAGCGCTGCCGCTACAGGGTCTCGCTGAACGCGAGTGTCTGTCATGGAGTGTTCAACAATGTGGCTACCGCATCCAGGGTCAATTATCATCGTGTCTGGGGCGATTGGCCCAGAGAACCTGCTACGCACAATCTCACCATGCTTACCACCGCATCCAGCCTGACAAAGGGACAGCGGAAATTGCTAGTTCCGGGACCGGGTTGATTCAAGCTACATTCCCTCGGCATCCGCGCAAATGATGAGATGCAAGAGCAACAGAGGGGTTCAGGGCCGTAACTAATTAGGCTTTATGCATTGTGTTAATGCCCTTACGCTTCTTTCCGAGCACTATCCCTCCTCGAAATTAAGCCTCTGCGTCCAATCCTATCCTCCTATACCCACAATCAAAGCTCCAACCCCATCGTTGCCAAGCCTTATCAATGCCTGGTTGCTGACCAATCAACTGCCTCACGTGACAGGAGCCCATGTAAGCTCAGAGTCGCTGTTCAATTAAATTGTCGGCAGATGTTAGTGCGCCAACGATAGTCCCTGAAGCTCATCGCCCATCAACCATCAGTGACCGCCCATCGATTATATCCAATTTCTCCCTCATCGCATCCAATCTACGCACTAACACCAGCAAATGTTCTGGTCACAATGCCCGCACACCTCCCAACATATACATCTGGACGCCAATCACGCCATTACTGTTCACGATGCTATTCCGACTCGCATGATCTTGCGCGAGAAATCTTACACCACTGCTAGCCAACAACATGGTACCATGTACTAGATTCGCGGGGAAGAACTGTAATACTTCAGGGTTCGAGCAAAAGCATTCGTCGACCTGCCCTGGACGCTGGTTGGCATTGTGTCATTCTCCCGCAATCCCAGAGAGCCCGCCCGCCCGCATTGGCTCAAAGTCTTCGAATCTTCTGCTCCTTAAACACGAGTATACGGCTTGGTTCGAGCAGTACTGACTCAGGCTCAAGGGTTCCAAGAGATAGTCGCCACGGTGTTCGCCATGCCCCTCCATCCTTGACAGCGACGATAAGGAGGCTCATACAAACCAAGCGCCTCAAGGTTAGTCGTTGATAGAATTGCCACTCCACAATGGTACCCTGTAATTGAAATTTTAACTAGCGACGCGTTTAACTCTAGCCTTTCTCTTCTAATGAATTACCATGGTTTTACGCCATGAGCAGATCAAAAAAGGCTGCCTAAACTTTCGAATCAATGCCAGATATTCGCAGTGGTCATGCTTTGTTTGGCTTGTGCCTTGACAAATCGCATGCCATCCTAGCCCAATGCAATTAAAGCGCAAAGATTGTCATGATCTAAATCAAAGTACTTGATAGTTTACCTAGGCAAAATGAGTCGTCAGCTCCCAAACTACAAGATGCTGAAAGGCACTCTGCACGCAGTTCTTACTAGGCCTGTAATTTCACGAATTCTGACTGCAATATTTAATGGCGATTTAAAATCTCAAAAGCTTTCTCGATACAAGTCGGTTTCATGATTGAAGAGGCGGCTATAAACTGAAAGCTCAGTTGTATAGATTTACACAATCTGCGTCTACAGGACTTCCATACTACACGTTCCAAGGTACTTGACTAGTCAACATATCCACGTAACTCGCCACATATTTTCACTATTTAATATTCCCAAGCATGAGACGTTGGGAAAGTCCAGGAGTGAAAAGTTTTGAAAATCCTCATGGAAAAGTTGATAATCGTCACAGAGAAAATATAGACACTATGTCTAGGATATGTATCAAGAAATATCAGATCTCGAGGCAGGCCTATTCAAATCATAACACAATTAGGGTAGGCCAAGTAGACTAAATTTTCGATGATAATCGGCCAGGTGCTAAAACTTGAGTATGAGGAATAATATTCCATTCAATTTCAGAATAGGAATCACGAGGTATGAAGGTGGTGGACAGGTAGCCTTGAGAATGTGAGATAGATTGGCATTCATGTCACGTGTAGGTGTTTCATGTTCAAGCACCTAGACTGCCTTGCTCATGGCGTGTTTGGAGCCGTGAGGGCGAAATTATAGGTCTTGACTTTATGGTTATTCTCTCAATGAATCTTGAACTAAAAGACCCTATAAGCCTGGCTCTTCTAAATTTAGGTCGGGCACCAGCTTCATCCTTCCAACTATTCCAAATAGTGGCAGGAGGATTCAGAGTACAGTGTAGACTATGTCGTGACTTAGCCGAACCAGGCTGATTAATCAGTCACCCACATGCCGATATGTCTGCGAGGCCTTCAAAAATAGATGGGTAAGTATAGGATCAACTTGAGTGTAGTCCATGGTTGTGAAGGGATTTACCTGGTGTTAGTTGGCTGGGCTCGCCTATGGGTCCCGTGTCGCATGTCAGTGGGCTGTGTCGAATGGATCAGCCTATCGCACAAGGCAAAACGGTTAATAAGTGCTCGTGGAAGATGGTCATTCGGATACACCTTACATTGGCACAGCCCAATGGAAGTGATCTCGCATATTTGACTATAGTTTGGATTGTGGAATTTCTAGCATGCAGCGACCGTAAACCTCGTCCTTTCCTCATGGGGCTTAACTCTGAAGGGAGATTTTGAGGAATCATTTTGTCTTTTTTTGACCTACAAGCCAAGCATTCATATCTAGTAGTCTATCCCCATCTACACCTCCAATATGGTGTTTCTATTGTGCTACTTGAGTCGTAGACTATCTAGCACATCGGGCTCCTCTCTGACCTAGGCCACACCTTGTACAGTGCTTCATGCCTCTTGTGTTCCTTGGAAGATCATTGATATATTGCCCGTGATGAATAGCCATTCGGCCACTTTTTCCGCAGAACCTTCTACCCATAAAAATTGGTGGCAATGGAAACTGCTTGCGCGGGAAAAAGTCTCAAAAAACCTGCAGGCCCAGCCAGACGAGGCCTAGACGTCGGGGCCACATGAGGTGCGCATATTCATCTATATCTCCCTTCTTTGTAACTGTCGAGGCCGACTTGATACAATCCACCATCTCTGTATCGGATGCTGGGTACGCTCCGGAAACTCATCGGATGACTTTCCTCCATGATCAAGGGTTGGTGATGAGTAGAGCTCCGACCCTACCATCTGATCTGATCGTGGTTAGCTTCATGATAGTGGTGATAGGGGAATGTGTTGAGAGATGAAGACGATACAGACCGCGAAAGCGATTGAGAATCCTCGTCGAAGTGAGGACTTTGTTACTCAATCTCGGCTCTGCAGACTCTACAGTGAGAGCTGGAGGTTCGTAGGGGACACCGCTGACAGGTGTTGAGAATAGTCCCCCTCTTTACCTCCAATATCGCAGCGCTCAGGTCATATCACGCCTCAAAAGCCTTCCATCATACACTTATCGGAGCCCTTTCTGCGGATATGTCGAGTTGTTTTGGTTATAAATAGACTTTCCACATTAGCAGTCAATTACCATCCGCGTAATGCTGCATACAGGGCCAGGGGAAGTGGCCTAGATTAGTGGAAAATCGGAAGCCCAATGGCTAAATTCACCCGCAAACCACCCCTAAAAGAACCTTGTTACCAAGTTGAGATAAAATGAGAATCCTAAGTTAGTCCTCGCTGAGTCTTGGACCTTCAAGCACTCCGGAACCTATCAACTAAACTCCGCCTACTGCTGAAGGTTAAGTTTTTCCCCTGGATGTTGGGCGTCATGCCCGTTACCAGGCTAACAGTATTTGGGATTTATTAGTCATCGTCTAGGTACATCTATAACTCACGAGACACGACCGGTAGCGTAGTAGGTCAACGAATGATTACCTGCCCGCTGAATGCCCTGGAAGTCTGGGTGTGAAATATCATGGCCGAACTTAGTCCATCCAAATTTCGCAGTACCGAGGCATTAGTTGGAGGTTCTCCGCCACATCAAATTCTCGCTCCCAACGAGATCGATTTCCACTAAAGCATCATTCATTCCACGCATATCATCAATTGCGTCCGCATGACCACACCTCCCACCAAATCGGTCTTTGGCCCCAAACGGACTCCATATATACGTCCACAATGATATAAATAGCCGCCGTAGAAAACAGAATGTGGCGCCCAAATCTGACAGGCAGTGTCTTGGGATGGACCTAAGAGAAATCAAGGCAAGTTTACAAGATGATGCAAAGAAAGGATATAATCTCGACGGCTCTGAAATTTCGAATTTGGGCAAGGAGTTTTTACAAATTGAGCTTTGTGCGCGGCAAAAGTTCGCTTGCGAGAGTGTAGTCGACTCTACTAATACAAGCCAACGATGAAAAGCGCCGTAGTCCGCCTCCCTTATGGTCTGAGTAGCCTGGTCACCTAATCCATTTGGGAAGGAGACGTCTTGGACCACATTTCGCGTGGAGAAAATTCAGTGGACGAAGCTATGTCTGGATAACTCGGGATATTTGAGACGTTTCCCTGGGTTGATAGCCACGGACGAGGGTCGACTTTGGGTGAAGAAGAAGCCAGTAAAACTATGCGGTGGTACTTGAAAATGAAATGCGAGGCATGAGTGCTCCAATTTAATTGAGTCATCTGTTATGTACCTTTTCTCGGATATCGTGTCTTAGCTGGCTGCATTCACAATTGACGATCCAAAAACTAACGATATAAAGCTCGCGTCGCTTACCCATCACTGCCATATCACCCAAGTGTACCATAATACCCCCCCCTCCCTAAATGGTGCCAAACACTCATTTGAAGATACCAGTTTCATACCATATAAATAACCATCATTAAATAGTCTGAAATTTAAGCACGGGCCGTGTTCATCTTTGATTTCACTCCGACGTTTCCATGCATTATTTAGCTCGGTCAAGGGCATCAGACTTACAACGAAGTTACTTATTGCTTTGAATCACAATTTAGTTGCCTTGGTGAGGTTAACACAAGGTATCACTCAGGTTCGCAAGCGCAGAGCGACTACGCCCTGGCTCTCTTTTTCGACGTGAGGCACAGAAGCCATACCATCAGATACTCTTTCGGAAAAGATTGGCCTGCGCTGAGTGGAATAAATATGTTTGAGCGCCAATAGCTTAAAATGCTGTTGTAAATAAGGCAGCAACATGACTGCAGTAGACAAATAGTACATGTTGGAATAATATGCACTGGCGCCATGAGATATGATTAACCCATATCATCACCCATTGGCATGAGTGGTAGTTGATAGATGTCTGACGGCGTATTTTGGCTTTAGGACCTCCAACGACCCTCCCATTTAGGCTAGATTAGGAAGTATGTTGGAGTTCACACTCGTGTGCAGAAAACCCCGCTTTCATGTATATAGAGGGACTTATCGCCTCGCATGTAGAATCAAAGCAATTTAATCACAATTAACTAGCCATAAATATGAGTAGACTTCTTCGTATAGTAAACACATTCATCATATCTCTAAATCAGCCTCAAGGCTAATATATAACTCCTCCATTCCCCGGAACTATTCCAATTAATACTACAGACCAGCTCGAGCCTACGAAATCTTGTAAAACTTTTTGCCAGAATTTAAAATCTCAGCCCTCTCGAGATTGATGTGGCCGAGAAACTTGAATCACTGCCTCGGTGTGAAGGGACTGATCACATTAGCTGTTCGGAAAAAGTGTGTCGTAAGTTAGTTTCTATTCTGTATAAAAAAACAAGTACTACGAAAACTACATGCTCATCGACTCAATACCGCGCGTCGCGTATGGATTTATGCATGAGTTATCCCTTACACAACTCCTTAATGCAGCCAGGCCATGGACCCTAAGACTTCTCGATAAATGAAGCGGATAAGCTCCGGTTGAAACTAAACAAGGCACTAGCCTGTAACGCTCGGTACCGCGAAATTCGGATGGACCCAGCTCGGGGAGGATATTTCATTGGCAACCCGTGACGGGCGTTGAAGGTCTTCTCTTGTGATAAGAGTGGATAAGAGTACTGTATGAGCAGTAGCTGGGTAAGAGAGGGGCCATGCACTTGACAGTCATCGACTCAAGTAGCTCAATAAAATAAAAAACCAGAGCAAACACATCCCAACGTATGTTTACCGACAACTATCTGTCCTCGTCCTTGAGTACCTCAAAGAGGAGAGGCCCCAGTATCTTTGGTCATCTCAGCAATCTAGACTCCAGCCGGAAGACCGGTCTGCACGATGTGTCACGACACTTTTCCGACAAAATGACAGTGTTGTCTGCACTCTCGACCGCCAAGTCGGGCACGTACGATTCCCTTCCGTGCCAAATGCTTCTTTCGACCTGCCGGAATTCACTCTCGAGATAATGAGCCTGCCCAGATTCACCTTTCCCAACTATCCGGAGAGCGCGCGCGTCCTTCCGAATATCTCATCTGCCAGGTTACTGCTTCATGGGTTGTTTCCGCCTGCGGCCGTTCAAATTGCAATCGACGCATGCTCCGAGGCCAGACTGGGACGGAAGGTGAGTTCGTAGAGAAGAGACCGAATTGTATCTGCAGACTCGATGAGACTTTGGTCGGCATTGACCTTGTTGGGCGTGAAAGAAGTGAGACCCTGTAGCCGTGAGGCAATCTGGGTCCATGTGTGACGGCGCCAACAGTGTTGCACCTGGACGGTCAAAGCCGTGGTGCCTCTGATGGTCTGCGGGTGTTCCGGGTGGGTAAAGTTAATTTTGGCTGGATTCCTAGGCAGCGCTTCCGAAAGCGTCTCCGTGGAGTAAAGGTCTGCGCTGGTCTTTGATAGTTACCACCATCTCAATACTGTCGTACTATGATAACGGGCATTAGCCGCGCATCATGCCGTGCTTGTATTGCCTGTGATTACCTGGTGAGCCCGCAAACTCTGTTGCCAGAGCAACATGATTATGTGATCAGGTGATATGGCAGGGCGAGGTTTCCGGTGCAAGTTAGTGGGAATAAAACGATAAATGTTGAGCGTGAAATTCACAGATATCTCGTGGCTCTGATTGCGACAATCTATATGTGTGTAGAGCTTGAGACTAGGTGTAAACTTGTATATCTATTAGAGCTCTACCTCCTCCTTAAATGAAGTCCTCTATACTCCAGATAATGTGACGATCAGTAATACATGGCAAAGTAAACTATCAGCATAAAGTAGGGGAGGAGTGGGGCGCTTAGCCGCCCGGATTGTGACCAAGGAATGCGAGGCGTGCATTCTGCACGGGTCCCTAAAACTCGGCGGCTCGCTTAGGATCGGGACTTCGGCGTCTCGTCTAGACTCGGAGCTCGGCGGCTCGCTTGGAGTTCAGGATGCTCAAGGGTATCCCGCATCTTGCAATAGGGACAACTGCTAGTCACTTTCAATGCATCTGCACGCCTTTGGGTTGGTCATTTTCTTTGCAACTTGCATCCCTGAAAATCTCGCAGATTGTAGTCCTCTCTAACCCAGGCCACACCTTGTACGGCGCTCCTATCCCCCAGTATCACGTCATAAGATCACTATCATGTCGTACGCTTTGAATAGCCAATGAGCCCACTAACTACGAGTAGAATTCATTTTTCTCTACTGTGGCACCTTCCAACATGAAAAGTGGAAAGGGTAACTTTGGTAGTGGCATGCATAGGGAAAACTCTCAAAAAACCTACAGCCCCAGCCACAAGACGTACGTGGGTCCATCTACATTTCCCTTCCATGTAACATCAGAGGCCAACTTCATCCGATTCACCATCGTCGTATCGAGTGCTGGATATGCCTCGATACTCCTCGGATGGCCTCTCCAAGGACAAGGGTAGGTGATAGGAAGGACTTCAACCCTACCATCTGTTCTGATGATGCTTAGCCTATGATAATGGTGTTTTGCTAAGAGATGAAGACTAGATAGGCTACGAAACTCTTTAGGAGCCCTTACCGGAGCGCGGCCGTAGCTGTTGCTCGATCTCGGCTTTCCCGACCTTGCAGTGAGGGCTAGAGGTTCTTAGGGGAAGCCACCGAGAGGCGTAGGGTTTTCGTGCCCCTACCTTCGAGCGTTACTCCTGAATGTAATTCCGAATTCAAGTGTTGCCCAGGTTAAAGAGATAATCCAACATTAACACATAATTACGATTGGATTTCAAAAATATCTGGATGAAAGCAAATTCTTACAAGACGAATAAAAATTGTGTTGCTATGGAGACCATTCTTTTTTTGGATCATATTGTACCCAGCCATATAGCTTTGAAAAGTTCTAGCAATCAGCGTCCAGAATTTCGTTGCCAACTTCATTTCCTGAATAGAGACCATTCCTGACAATGATCCGAGTGCTTGCGGCACAACTTCTACATAGCTGAATATAATATAAAAAAAAAGAGGTACAACACCCGCCAACGGCCAGTTCATCTAACCCCCCGTAGTCATCCGAGGTTATGCAGAGCCAGGGTCAAGGCACATCTTCCAACCTAATTCACAGTAACTTCTGTTTGAATGGACGACGAAGGCTGAACATCTATCATTGGTGCACTCTACATTCCCGGAGGGAAGAATAATCACCCAGAACCGAGATTCATTTTCGACGAAGGGTGTATTCGAGTATTTTCGTCCAGATGTCAATTACGGCAAGTCACGATGGCAAGTCTGGACAAAAACTCAATTTGCAGATTTTTATGACTGCACAGCCCATCACACCCTAATTATGAACGTCATACAGATTTGATTCCATGCAATAAGCATTCTAAATATCTACTACTCTTCACTATCTTTATTTTCCTCCAAGGATTCAACCACACATCAAAGCATCTCAAGATGCAGAAGCCAAAATTACGCTCCAAGATACAAAAAGATGTTCTTCTGTCCCTAGCTACTGCCTCATTTGAAGGCACGGTCAAAGTATAAGCCTTACATACATCTACACCTCGGCCAAGGGCAGCAAAAATCCGACCTGCAACGACTCACCACTAACATGACAAGCACGAAATTTCATTAGCATATCAATCTAAGCTATCATCAAACATCAAGGCACCGATGCTTCTGTCTCCAGATCCTCGACGTATGCCTGGCCTCCGCAGGTAGAGGTCCAGTTGTGACGGGGCGAGGCCGGAGTGACGGACAGTTTTCAAAGTGTCTAGATCAGACGGGAAGTATTTTACTGTTGTCAAAACAAAGATGCGCATGTAGGGGCTGACGTGGTTTATTATAATTTCTCGAGGAGTGTGTATGCTATTCGTCCACAGGGTACAAGTGTGAGTAAATAGGGGGTCAAGGTCTTCCACAAGAAGAGATAGAGGGCACGTCGCGATCTGATATGAGTACGGGCTCGAAGTGGCCTTCACAAGGAAGTGATGGAATATCTAGAATGAGAATAATATTGAGAAGACCGTGCGTGAAGAAGGCAACTCGACTGGAGGCTACGCTTTATTATGTACATGCTCGTAGTTCACTGTTACCTTACCTTTCCCTACTCAGGCCTACTAGATTTGTATGCTAATAGAAAACCATCATTCTAACCCCTGTTTTTATTCTGTGCAATTATTATATAAGGCGTTATGGGGATGAATTTCATCTTATAGTATCAATCTGTAGCTGAGGATAGAGAGTATCCATTATAACGAGCCGAAATTTGAATACGAACATTCTCATCACATCGTAAATACATTGACAAAAATTTTCTTAGAAGGTGATATCGGCACATGGAGAATGAGAAAAGCCACAATAAATGGACGAGAGAGGGAAAAATGGAGGATTTCCTAGCGAGTGACTGAGAGAGGCCTCCAATGAAGAAAACGATCTCTTGATAGCATAACGAAATGCCAGGATGAGGTATGTGTTGGATGGGTTATGTATCACGTACGTTACGAGTAGATGCAAAGACAACTGGATGTATATAAATTCATTATCATTCTATTCTAGTTGGCTAAGCCAATATCTAACTATTAGCACGCGTGCGCATCGAGATTACGTGAACCAACGGATCAGCTAGTCTCCAATGTTCCGCCGACAGTTGGATATGGTGGATAGCGACAGTACAATTGGGAATGATCGGAAAGAACGAATTAGAGATCGGAGAGACATCTAGGGCTCGGGCGCACAGTGGCCAAGTCTCGGGAAGAAGTTGGCGCTTTGGTGCGTCAAGATCACTTTTTCTGGGAGGCTAGACTCGATACAACAAACATATGGGTGAAGTCTGAGGTGGTTCAGTGACTCAGGCGGGCCGAGGTACATGAACATGACGTTAGTTGGCCTCATCCTGCCCGGCCCTACTCGTGTTCGAGCTCCCATAGTCATGAAAAGGGTATCAAATGCCTAGCACATTACTTCACAGACAAAGGAAAGCAGAACGGTCGGCCCTGGATCAGCTATTCAGGGGCGCCCAATAAGGGTAATGAGATGCAATGATAGGGGCAGTGATGCGACTAGCAAGCAGATGATATATACTAGCTGCAGGAGCAGCCATGGCCGCTCATGAACCGCGGATTCACGAGCATTGGATTGGTAGTATTATTGCTGTGGATATTTTTTGGAAATCTAGACTTAGTTTACATGAAGGTTTGGATTTCCCAGTATCATCATCAAGATCAATTCCATTCATCCAATTGCATATGGCTAAACTTAGCTGGGCGACATGAGGTTCAGTGGTCAAATCTCGCAATATCAAAGAAGTTGGCCCACAAGGCAATGATTCAAATTACTCCCCCACGTCGTTTTTTCACTCCCAACGAGTTAGACTCCTACCTAAGCCTCATCGAGACTACAAGTACGACCGAGTACATCCTCATTCCAATGACCACACCTCTCTTCAATATTCTCTGGCCTCAGTTGACCACCAAATACACGCCCGCGCCAATATTTACACCCGACAGAGGAAGCAAAGCATGTAGCACAAATCTGGGAGACAGTTCTTTGGGATGGACGTGAGAGGGATCAGGACTAGTTGACAAGATGATGCAAAGGAAGGTTACAACCTCGAAGGGCATAAAATTCCGAATTTTGGCAGGGAGTTTTTCGAACTGGGCTTTGTGCGCGCCAAGACGTCGCTTGCAAGAGTGCAGCTCACACTATAAAAACAAGCAGACAATGAAAGGTGTTGTGGTACGCCTCCTGGTGGTGTTCTCTGGTATAGTTTGAGTAGCCTGATTTCATGGATAAACATGGCGGAAACTAGGATGGTGTCTCATGGGGAGTTCCATTCTAAAACACAACTCGGGGTTAGATCAAGATCTCAAACAATTAGGACAGGCTCAGGAACAGAGGGTCGTTTCATAGGGATTGCGTAGTAATACTGCTCGAGACAGAGCTTAGGGCTGTCCTATTATCTGATGTACATATATACCCAGCGTGAAGGAGTATTCTTCTTCACGCAACGTCTTCTGTTTATACTCATACCTATTGTTCACTTACTTATCTCTTCTCTAAAGAAGACCGCCGTTATTGTACCCTTCTCACCTACTACTTATTTCACCTTTACTTCTTACGTGAACCCTATACCTAACGCTGAATTTATACCTCCTACTCTTAGGAATCACCACCATACTCCACACCTGTAACCTACTTGTACCAAATTTGTACCCTACGGAATACTAATAACACTGCTCCTTGAGACCTGAGCACCTACTCCACTTGGGAAGGAGACATCTCAGATTACATTTCGCGCGTAGAAAAGTTGATGGATGACAGAGGCATGTCTGGATAACTCAGAGTTTTGAGACGGTCCCCTGGGTGGGGGTTCACGGATGAGGGTTGACTTGGGGTGTAGAAAAAGCCGCCATAACTTCGCAGTGGTACCTGCAAATGAAATCCGAGGCATGAGTGCACTTCTTATCAATTGAGTCATCTTTTCTGTACTTTTCTTTGATATTGTGTCATAGCTTGATAGCTGCATACACAATTAAAATCTGATGCAAAAAACAAAGTGCTAGTTTGTGATACAGGGATTAAATAGTCCCTGCACAACTTACTATGATCAGCACTTAGAACTGAGTATTACTAGTAAAACGCAGTGCAGAGTATGTTACTCCGCTTATGTGACAATGGGCTTTGTTATGGGTGTAGATAATGTACATATATATCAGTCCTATCTATGTGTTACGGGCTAGGCCCGGCTCGGCTCTGGCTGGACTATTTAAGGCTATAGGGCCCATCCTTATCTTGAAGGCTCAAGCGAGTTTGTAAATCTTCTCACTATACAGGAGTATTATCAGATCACGTGTAAAGGGCAAGGGTAACTGGAACAGGCATTGTAGTTA